AGTTTTCAGTACAAAGGAATAGAATAAAAAATAGTATAATATCCTTTATTGTCTTATAGAACTAAATATGAAAATTTGTCAAAGTGGCACTTGGAACGCTTACTATACCTAAGAAGATTATTGGTTATAAATAACACAAAGAAATATAAATTACTCACAGATAATTATGAAACAGCCAAAAATTCGTTGGCTGTCTTCCACATAAGAAGTGCGCTTGGGACTTAAATAGATCTAGTTGTCTATGAAGGTATTAAATACATACATGCGGATACCTATTTAATGTTGGTATTAGGATTGCTATATATAATGTATTTAAAACCACATTTACTCGAAAAACTACTGCAATACTTTGTTTATTCTATCTCCTAATCAACTCCCCTAGATAAGTAACAAACGAATCTATCTATAAATATATTATCTCTATTAAAAATATACTCGTAATTATTCCACAAACCAAGAACTGTTTTCTACTTGTCTAGAAAAAGGGAAACTATGGCTTAAATTTAAAAAATTGTATGTTCATTATCATACAAAAATAAATCCCTTTCCATTAACTATTTAAATATCTTTTCTTTTTTTATACAACTTAGAATGGCAAACTAGCTGACGGCAATCTGATGGAAAGTGGTAACTGTCACTTATAGACATAAGCAGTACCATGGACATAACAGAGTATACTGTTTCGTCCATGATATCCCCATGCATTGCCATTCCTGAGGACTCAGGTGTTATTTCTCTGTACCCTGTAAATTCACGCCATATCCCATCCTTCAAACCGAAACACAGCCATGCAAACACAACTGCTTCACGGTTGAAACACGAATGGGACAGAGGTACCCAAGCAATCGACTTTTGTACAAAGTCTCCCTTTGGTAAAATCTACTGCTGAATATAGACCTCTACCATAATCTGCCTTAAGAATTGTTCCACTTACATATACTAACTACCTAAAATTTTTTTTCACAATTATTTTTTCATGAGACATAATAGTAGACAGAAGAATAAACAAAGTTCTTTAAAAACATTTAAACGACTAAAAAAAAAAGACAACCAAAAAAACACAGACTTCAAACAAATCAAAAGGTAGTACATGTATGTAATAATAATTTATTTAAATTATTAGGTTTATAAATAGGAAATAAATGCACTTATCGCCTTTTTTATATTAATAAAATTAGTAAACAGATTTGTTAATTTAATAATATTTTAATTTCTTCATTAAATTGCCCATATTTTTTATGAGGATGTTGAACGGAAAATACTGCCGCTTATCCTCAGTTGGTTGTTAACCGTGCATGAACTTTAAGGCAACACTTTAAATTGAATGATTTGGGCAAAAAAATTTTTAACGGCCAACTTTATATTGCGGTAAGTCGTGTAAAGACACTAGGTGGTATTGTTCTTTGCCACTTAAAGTCAAACAAACATCGCAATTTGAAAAAGCATTGTAGGAAATGGAATGATTAACACTATTGTAAATACCTATAATTATAATAATTGGCCAGGTCCACTATATTACATTATATACTACCAAATTAGGATATGATAATTAAAATAATCTACTTTTTTTTGTAGTGATAACACTTTCTAACAACGTTAAATTAATCTCCCAATTGCCAATTCGATACAGACTCCAATGCCTTCCATCATCATCTCAGCAGCTTCAAATTATAACTCCCAGACGCAATCACCGAAATAAAAGAAGCGATATATACTATATAGACTATAAGTGCATATTAATATGGAATTATTATTTTTAAAATTAATACTTTTTTATGATATCTATATATGTATATATATATATATATATATATATATATATATATATATATATATATATATATATATATATATATATATATATATATATATATATATATATATATGTATATATAAGTTCATAAAATTTCCTGTTTTACATTAATATAAAAATGTATGGAATTATTCCCTAAATGGTTAGGACCATTAAGGAGTTAAACCTTCCATATTCAGATGGAAGAATATATCTGAATAACTTAAACGCATATAACAACTAACAGTCTATACGTGCCTATAGTATATAAACCATTATCGCTTAACTCAACCAGGGGAGAATGGATTGTTAGTAATAAGATTGGTAACCTCCTTGCAATATACCCTCAGGTTAATCTCCTTACGGTTCCCCTTGAAAACTATGGTGATTGATTTATTCTTGAATTCGTTACGATAGACTAACTGACCTACTTTTATTGTCATTTATCATCCTTCACTGGTGCCCTACCAGCATATCCACCAATAACGCAGGTGTGGTTACTATTCCATTTTCACGCAATAAAAAAAACCATTAAGGAGTTGTGCCTTCCATCATCAACTCAGCAGTATGAGATGATGACTACCAAATGTAAATATGTGAACAAGTTAAGAAAAATATAAAAAAATATATAAAACACATCATACGTATCTATAACATTTCAGGGTTGCCCTCAATTTCCCTGGGATTCAATCATCAGTCCTAACTTGGAGACAATGGGTCCACCTCAGATGTATAGTCTTTGGAATAAAAAATTAATTTTCAGAACGCATACATACCAGGTCACTCAGAAAGTGTTGTGAGAAAAAGTTTTTATGTATGTGAGACTGGCCAGTTATAATTTATTTAAAAAAATAATTACTTATAAGTAAAAATAGGTACGTTCTAAATTCAAAACTTCCCTCCACATTTTTTGCTAGCTAATTAAAATTTTCGTGTCTGATTGAAAAATGGATTTGCGTCGAGAACATTTTCACTCTATGATTTGTTACGATTTTTAGTGTCGCCTGAAACCGGACGAATCGATAGACTATACGTAGGATAGACTTCAAATGGTATTCATGAATAAAGGCCCTTCTAAGGCAACCGTGTATCGTTGGTATAATGAATTTAAGCGCGGTCCACTAACTGTGGGAGATGAAGAAAGAAGTGGTCGCCCTTTGACGGCTGTTACGAAAGAAAACGTGCTAGCAGTGAAAAATTTTATCCAAGATAATAGACGAGTTACATACCAAGGGATTCAGCATATTCTGCAAATTGGATCAGGAAGCCTTTACGAGATTCTACATGTGCATCTACGGGTGCAGAGGATAGAGTCATGCTGGGTGCCGCACAACCTCATCGATGTTCAAAAACAGGCAAGGGTGGAATGGTGCCATATGATAGATAAATTTGAAGCAGGCTCGTCTCGGCGTGTTTACGACATCATTACAGGTGATGAATCCTGGATTTATCAATACGATCCAGAAACAAAGCGCCAATCGACGGTTTGGGTGTTTCAGAACGAATCAGCACCTACCAAAATAAAGCAACCTAGAAGAGGGGGAAGATTTTGATCGCAAGCTTTTTCAATTTGACTGGCTTGGTCTAAATTGGTACTTGGTATCAATTCCTTTACGAAACTAAAGAAGCATTAACGCCGAATGGTACCTATACTACCAAATGCTTGGCAGAAGTTTTCTCTGTTGTGAGCAACAAGCGACCAAACACAGGGCTCCGCGGGCTACTGCTCCACCGCGATAATGCGCCCACGTCGGCCACCCCTGTTGTAGAGTATTATTACGCTTTGGAAATAATTCAGCTGATTTAGATACTCAATCAGCACATAACACTCAAGAGCATCCACAGAAACTATCAATAAAGATAATAACGCTCTACAAGTATACATGACATAGTGCTAATATGTCAGATGCGGGAGGAAAGGGATTGTTAGGAATGGGGAGGTTAGCCCCTATTGCTGTCAGTATGCCCTGTCGAGTCGACTTCTACGCAGTTCTCCCTGGAAACCATCGTAACTAATTTATCGTTGAATTCGTCAGGATAAGCCAACTGACTTACCTTTTCATCCTCACCAATCATCCCTCACTGGTTACCCTTTAATGTATCCCGCCTGCACTATCGGGATAAATTGGCGTACATCCATAAAAAAAAAATGACAGATGCTAAGATTATTAAATAGAGCAAAGAGTGCCAAAAACAGTCTCGCAATTTTTAGCAAAGTTTAGTTAGTATGATCAATTATAATTTATATTAAATAAATAACTTCGACTTTATATATTTTAATATGCGTGTTATATATAGCGTGTGAACATTATTACTATTAGAATGTAATGTTTTGTTAGAATAGAGACCGTATGATCTCTATTCTAATAAAACATTACAAGCATACCGTAGTCGTATGATCACGGTATGCTCATGATGCTCTTTATACATTTCCATTCCTTAAGACTAAGCTATTACGCCTCCGTACCCTATAATTTCATTGTAATACTCCATATCTCCTTTACATCGAAACATCCCTGCCTGCACAACTGCATCACGATAGAAACAAGAATGGGACAAATGTACCCAAGCAACCGACTTTTGAACAGTCTCCCTCTGGTTGCTGGTATATAAATGATATCGCCACCTTCTACATACTATCCTTAGTCTATGCATTTCCCAGTTATAAACTCATATAATGTAACGATAAAATATTTCATTGACAAAACTATTAGGATGAAAATATTTTAAACGCGGTATTAACTATATATATACCTTCTTAAAATATATGAATAGATTATATATGTATAAAGATTTTAAGTCATAGGCAAAACTCTTTTGTGATATTGCCACACTTCGGTTAATTAAAGTTAAAACAGGAAGACAAGTACTATTCTAAATGTAAGTTAAGACACTCATCAACTGAATGATGTTTCACTTCGGTACATTAAAAAAGACTTCAAACTTTTTACTTATGGTTAGGGTTACTTTTAAATAGGTAAATTCTTGAGCCAAGTATGTACCTATTAAAAATAAAAAAGAAAAATATGATTGACTCAAAAAACGCTAAAGAAATACCAAAGATACTCTAGTGCTTATATTTACTTCACAAACATGTTTGTAATTTACTTTAGTCTTTGCCAAAAACATTGAATTAAAGACTTTACGTTTATAATGTTGGCATCACTGTTGCGATCGTGTCAATAAATTTCATCCATAGACTAAAAATTACTACAAAATTAAAAAGTCTGCAAGCTGTCAAGGTAAACCAAACTAGTTGTCGTTGTTCAACAAATTCATGAGGTTTTCATAGTCTAGTTGTATATGTTTGTACTCAAGATTATATAAAATATGCCGAAAAACAAAGGAAAAGGTGGTAAAAACAGGAGGAGAGGTAAAAACGAAAATGAAACAGAAAAACGTGAGTTAGTCTTCAAAGAAGATGGCCAAGAGTACGCCCAAGTCACAAAGATGCTCGGTAATGGCCGCCTGGAGGCCATGTGCTTTGATGGCATAAAACGTTTATGTCATATTCGTGGAAAATTAAGAAAAAAGGTTTGGATTAATCAAGGAGATATCATATTAATCGGTTTACGAGATTATCAAGATGCCAAAGCAGACGTCATCTTGAAGTACACTCCTGACGAGGCAAGGAATCTAAAAACTTATGGAGAATTTCCAGAGACAGTGCGCATCAATGAAACTGTTGTCTATTCTGTGGATGGTCTGGATGAGGATATCGAATTTGGAGACGAAGTCAGTTCAGAAGATGAAGCAGATGCAGTTGATGCTATATAAAAAAAATATTAGTTCTATTTATAATAATATTTACAGTAAGTCTATGTAAATTTATTTTGATGTTATAAAATAAACATGACTTTGTGAATTTGTATAGTTCTGCAAATTTTCAAACACCTTATAAATAATGTACCTTAATACTACTACTGTCAGTATTTATTGCTCGAAATTTCATTGTAAGTGTTAATAATACATATTCGGTTTCAAAATTCAAATAATTACTGAGTTATCATTAAACCATTCTTTACATTAATAATTGGAAGGGAAATTTTCTGTGGAACATTCCTTGAATTCATTTTACACACTATTATTTAAAGTCACTCTTTAAATTTTTAAGGAATGTATATAAATTAAATATATAATACCAACCTATTTCATTGCTATTATTTCTTCTTAGTGTATACTGATTAATGTAATTATACCCACTTAATATATAAATTTAACAATTAAATTCAAATCTTAATATATAGAAAATTGATGTTATAATATTAATTCATGCTAATCTTTAAAACCACTTAACCTAAAATTTTGAAAATGTGCTGCTTGCTGCTGCAACTTGAGAGATAGGATAGTTTTTATTCTGATAAGAAAAAAATTTAACCAGTAAAAGTAAAGCAATGTTTGCCAGGTAGTATAATTATAAAATAATGTGTATAAAGTTTTAATTCTTCTTATTACATTAAGTCTATAAGGGCAGATTGTTAGTGCCTCTAAGGCAATGGTATCCGATATGATCTAAGTGAATTGAATTGAGCGTGAATTTACTGGGTACAGAGGAATAACACCTGAGCCCTCAGGAATGGTAACACATTGGGGGGGTATCATGGGCGAAACAGTATACTCTGTTATGTCCATGGTACTGCTCATGTCTATAGGCAACAGTTACCACTTTCCATCAGGTAGACCATCAGCTTGTTTGCCATTCTAAGATGTATAAAAAAAAGTGATCCCTGAGAGAAAATTATATTCATGTGGGGGACAATCAATTGAGGGATTTATTGTATTCTCCTTTTATTAAAAAAAAAAAGCCAAAATAATTGATTTGATTTAAGCAGATTGTAACTATCATTTTTTTATTTCACATTTTATTTTTTTATATTTAGGATAACAACTTAATAGTTATTACATGACATAAATATCCTAAGCCAGTAACAATTATCCACAAACATTAATAGAATATACAACATATATGTCTGGGTATTAATCATTATATAAAGAAATTACAGAACTATATATAAAAAAAAAATCCTTCAAGGTGACTAGAACATTTCAAAGTAAGAGTTATTACTAAGATGACTAATTATCAAATTTTTCAGAATCCCTACCTGATGAATGTTAAAAGTGTAACTACCTGAAAGCATGAACAATATTCTGGACATGATGTACTTGGTACATAATAATGTCTATTTATTTGAAATATTATTCCATTAATTTTATACTTAATATTAACACTAGTCAATAACACACTCAATGAAAGTATATATTGATATATTGCTTTATGATGTATATACAAGTTCCACAATTTTTTTTTTTTGTATTGGGGTCTAGTATACTTATAAAAACAACTACAACAATACCAACAACAGAAAACCAGAAAAGATTTTAATGCTGTAAGTACTATTACTGTACTATCTATCTAGTTAGTAATTAATATCTAAATTACTACTAATATTAATAGTAATGTGTTCTTGGAGAATCTGTGCACATGTCTATAGGTGATGGTTACCACTTTCCATCAGATGGGCCGTCAGCTTGTTTGCCATTCTAAGTTGTATAAAAAAAAACTTTTTTGTACCTCAGAATGGCGGTAAACTATCCCTGATATGATGTAATAATATAAATATCTACAAATGTTATACTATTGATTTGAACCACACTTCTAAAGTACTGATAAAGTATGTATTGTTGAAGTATCTTTCACTTATTGCCACTTCTAATAAATATTGTATATGCTTCCCAGGTGTAGGATAATTAAATGTTGTTTTCTGTACATTTAAGCTACTTATTTTTGCTTTAGATGAGATCTCATCTAATTGATGTGATGGAATTGTTTTTAAAATCCTTTTTACTGTGGTCACAAGAAAGTTACAGCAAAGAACAAATTTTTAATATCAGTAAAAAGCTTTTAAATAAGTAAAAAAAATGTTTTTAAAAATAAGCTTTTAGGTTACAGTGGACACACTGATCTCCAACCTAGCTTTCTCCTTACAATTATGTTGTATAAAATCATTGATTTTGTTCTGCGCACCTCTTTCAACTTATAGACTTTCACATTGCATTATTTATGGCTTATAAGAGATAGGATTCAATGCGATCATTTAGGTGAACTATGACAATTTTGTAACTGTTTTGTAAACTCTTTGAACGCCTTTGAAAAGGCGGCATAAGAGTGACAATTACAATATATGTGATATTGAACAATAAGAAGGTCAAACAAATTTTTTTTCTTTAAAACTCGTCATTACAGTCGGTGCATCCCAATTTTGCGTAATGCCTCTGGTATTGCAGGCGTTCATAGGCTACGGTAACCGCTTACCATCAGGTGGGCCGTATGCTTGTTTGCCACCTCAGTGATATAAAAAAAATTTAAATGACAAGGTAACTCAGATAAATTTTCATAGATTACTTAAATGATTGCGTTAATTGTCATCTCTTAAAACTTAAACTTTTTTTATATAGGATTCTGTAACAATTTTATTAGCCTATTTTAGGTCCAAAACTTGATGCACATTTACAATTCTACAGAATATCCAATACAGAATTGGTACCGATAATCGGTCAGTTGGAACTACTTTTTTGCAGGTTTTACTTTTAACTCTATAGGTACCTATTTAAGTATTTAAATCCAAATCTCCTCCTTATGAACACATACCTCTAGTGTAACGAATTGCGGACTAACCTCAGATCTAATCGTGTTACCGCTAGTTAATAAAATTCTCCATACTAGGTGGTACACCTCAAAGAGTATAATTACCCCTTAGTTTATCGAGAACCTAACGTAAATAAGCTTCTAAATATCTTCACGTCACAAATTAAGTGAATACGTTACAGTTAGCAGCAATGAATTCGTTACATCCAACAACAGTGTATTTTATCAAAGAGTATTTTTCAGTGTCGTTTTAATCTTTTCGAAAAATAAAACACGCGGCGAGTTGTAACCTAATAACTTTAAAATAAAAATAATTGTTGCTTTCCTAAAGAAATAGCTATAAAAATCCACAGAAACTTAGGGATATCATGAAATCACGGTAAACATCAAATAATGAAATTTTATTATAAAATTCTAGCTTCTGGCCGCAATTTCGTACGCATGACTTTAAAGTAGGTACCACTTCTAGACAGCATGTCAAAATAAAATTCACCAAATTTTAAGTTAGACCTTCAAAAACAACTTCTAAAACCACATTCTATTTGATACAGTAGTTTTAACGTGATTGCGGAACAGTCATACAGACAACAATTCCATAAATCGTTTTAGGTTCTATTGCTCGTAGTAAGCTGCCTGATCTTTCACAAGAACACGACAATTTCACTCAAATATCTCTCATGTACAGACATAGTCTAGTTACAATTTTATTATACAAGTAAATAATTATCTTTTTAAAAAAATTAACGGTACTATACAAAATATTAGTTAAGTACAAGGTGTTCAGCAATAACATTTCACTAAATCAAATTTAGTAAAATAGACTATGTTTATGTTCCTTTGCGAATATTTTGTGAAGCAAATATCCGATTAAAATATCTTTTGTATAAGATTGTTTAATTTTCTACCTATATACTATAGACTAGATAAAAATCTATAATTATAATTTTTGTATTAAGTGGTTATATAGCACGAGCTGTGTGAATACTAGGTGCTTACCTTAATGGTTAGATTTTCTACAAATTTACATTCGACTTCTTACTATTTATAACTTTCCTATAAAAATAAATCATAGAATAATAAATCATACCCGTGATACTTACATTGAAAACCTTTTAATATTCCCTAGACACTTTCGTTTTAAAATCTTTTTTGTAGAATAAATCTTCTAAATCCTTAAAAATAAATCGACTCTTTGTCAGCTAATTATCAAATTGGCTGACTCGTTTTTATTTATTAGTGTTGTTTATACTTACGTATACATTTTATCTTGGTGTATATATATTTAAATAATAAATAAAAAAGAGTTTTTTTTCCCATTAAAAACATGCAAAAATTATAAGACAAAAAATAAAATTAATAAAGAAATCAGATAACCGATAATTATCTTCAATTTTAAACATAAAATACAATTATAAATACACAATTTTTAAAAAATTACCGCCATTTTTTTGGCGTGGCATGTATCCGACAAAATTCTCGAAATGGATCTTTTTTTTAATAAGAATTGAATTATTATTTGTATGTTGCTATTTTTTTTACATAATATAAACATAATATTTATATAGGTATATGCACAAATGAAATGAAATTTTATTTGCTAGAAACATTGTAGAAAAGGTGTTGCATAGAGATATTATTGAGTATTACACAGACTTCAATGTTCATTTCATATTAGCCTTTAACTGTTCACTGCTGATTAAGGCGATTAAAAAATGGATGATAAAAATGTCGGGAAAAATTATGTATGGGGGCATAAAATTTTAGAAATGTCAAGTTGGACATGGCACAAAAAAGGTCGGGAAACACTGTTCTAATCTATAATACAATGGTGGGGCAATAGTAAAAACAAAAATACCTATTCACAAACTAAATAGATTGTTTTAATAATTCGTTAGTGCTGCCTCTGCTAGACAATTTAGGAACTAAAAATTACTTTAATAAATTAATTCTGTCTTTTGTCTAGTGTCCGACCGAACTTTCGGTTTCGGTTTCGGCCAGAAATTCTATTTCGGCCTTAGTTTCGGTTTCGGCCTAAAATTGGCGCCGCACCGACACCAACTCAGTTAACTAGTTCATAACCTCCACTCAATACGATTAACGATGGATAGCTCGAAGCGCTATCGTATTGAGTGGAGGTTATGTTTTTTTTTAAATGGGTGATAATGGAATGATAACTCCACCCGCGCCATCGGCATACACCAGCGAGGCACCAGTGAAGGATGACAGGTGAAGATGAAGCAGGTCAGTTAACCCATCGTGACGAATTCAACAAGAATTATTAACGATGGTTTCCAGGGGGAACCACCTGGAGGTCGACCTAATAAGGCATATTGCTAGCAATGGGGCTGTCAAACTCCATTGCTAACAATCTTTTTCCCCCTAGAGGCTATGTTATACACGTAAGGATTTGTTTTGTTTTTACTTGTACTTCTGGCATGACATTCAAATACAAATGATTATTTATGAATTAATAAAACATAAACATTACTTTATTTAAATGGCAATTAGTAGGCATTTAACAACGTTTTGTTGAGTTTTATATTTAAGCGACACATAAAATAGGTAATATTTGATTTAGGTATTACTTGGATTTGCGTGTTTATAGGTAATACTTATTGGATTACATTCTGTACTCTTATATTAACATTTTTTACCAACTAAACAACTAAGTATATGCTGTGATTTTACTTTGTGTGATCTTTAATTACTTAATTTTATTCAACCACTCCTTCACACCCACATCCACACCCGTTTATTTAAGTTTTTCTAATACACGAAATTACATCTAGCTAGTCCACGAGAAGAAATCTACAAAGTCCCGCTTTTTTTTCTTGATTTGCTTTACTAATATTGTGATTTCGTATTAAAAATTAATTTAGTTTTTTTTAAGTTTACTTCCAAGAGTAAGTATAATTTTAAAATGTTTTTACATATAAATATATATGACATATTTGTTACATGGTTTAATTAGTGTTTTATTACCCTTTACCTATATGTGTGTTTGTGTAAATAATTACACTAGTTTTCAGTATAGAAGAGAAGAAATATATTTCAGTAAGTTTCGGTTAAGGTATCAGCCAAAACTGAGACCAAGGCCGAAAGTTTGATTTCGGTTTCGGCTGTAAAACCTGTTTCGGTCGGACACTACTTTTGTCATTACATGGTAATAACAATTAATTTATACTAATTTTGATTACACAATTCGTATAATTTAGAAAATTATAGAGATTTTTATAATGTTGTTATAGTGCTACGTAATTTTTTTTTAATTGGTAATTATTTGTAAACTAGCTAATTTTAAACTTTCGCGTTGTTTATACATATTTTACGCTACTATTAGTATGGAACTAATAGTCTACTAACAATATACCCTATCAGGTTGACCTCCACGTGGCCCCCCCTGGAAACCATCGTGCTGATTTCCAGGTGTATTCATCACGAGGGGCTAACTGACCCACCTTTTCAATAAAAAAATGCATTAATGCAAAATTACATGATTCATCTCTAATCTCCACTAATATTGTAGATGTATTAAACATCTATAAGTTTCTTTTAATATCACTTTTTAATACAATAATTTATCAACAGAATTTATGAAAAATAAACCTCATATATTATATTACACGCTATTATTCCAAACTTGCTTAATTATACAATATTATCTTGCCTACTTGTACAACAATTAGTCAATAACCCTAAGTTTGTCTTGAAAAGATTGCTTTTAGCAGTAAAACCCTTACTGTACTTATACAACTGTATTGTTACATTTATTGTCTTGCTTATTCCCTATATTGTATAATACAAGTATACCTATTCATTTATTCAATTTCTCTATTATTAAATATCTATGTAATCCTTCTATACTGCCTACATAAAAGAACTATCTTCATATTAATATTAAAATCGTTAATCTAGACACTTATTTTTATTATATACTTATAAAATCAGTTTTATTTTGTTTTCAAAGAAAAATAAAAAACCTTTTATCATTTTTTTAATGTTGCCAACTTGAGATCTCCTTTCATCCGCCATATTGAATTTTGTTGTGCTTAAAAAACATTGTGAGCACGTGGATTGTTGGATTAATTTAAGCTAAATTTGATAGTTAAATCACTTAGCACGCCTATTTGCTTTGTTTTCAGATATTTAATTATAAGTGGAACTATTACTTGTTTCATCTCAAAGTAAGTATATTATGTTTCTGTTGCCGGCAACGATTTCCACATATAGAACATGGGATTTGGTCGGCAGGCTCATGGGTCATAATGCTTCAGCGTTAACACCTAAATAAATAAAATTAAACATTTATAATCCACTTCGGACCATATCTCAAATGGATATTTTGACAGAGTTTAAATTGCGTAACCTTTCATTTTGTAACCACATTTGCTTACGTGTTGGCTGTGAAGGTTTCACATAGTGTTTGTGACCCTCACTGATTCCTATTAAATGTTTTTAAGCACTGAGAAATCTGTCACACGTGGTTTCATATAATCATGATTAATAATATAATATTGTAATTTTAATTAATAAACGTGTGAAAGTGATAGGTGACTGGTAGCTGGTAATTGCTGTGTTGTGTCCAAGCTTGCTTCGAGCGGTTTTTTACTATCCATTCCAACTTGCCGTCGTGTTAAAACAAATAAGTATAAACAATAAATTATTCCAATGTTAAAAAATATTTTAAGTAACTTCATTATAGAGACATATTTTTTTAAAGTTATGTTTATTAAATTGACAATAACAATAAACATGTGGGTACAATAACCTATTTGATCTAGTCACAAATAATTATTACATCTTTTATGTGATAAATGTATAGCTTTACTTTAGTATAGCATCATTTCAAGTAAGTAGGTCACTTATCTTTATCAATATTTTTCTTTAGTTAGTAATTTTGGCAATTAGTTTATTACAGTATGCTGTGCTACTAAGGGCACTTATAAAAACTAATTGGTATTTAATAGGGACATTTAGCTTTACTTTTATATCTGATTATAGAACTGATATATTACTGATAAGCATTTTATTTTATTAATAAAATATTTTTTATATATTTTGTGTTTTGTCTACAATGGCTCTTCTTTTCTTCTGATATGTGATTTAAATCTTGTTACAATTGTTTCAGATTGGTAAAAGTGGCTCTATACAATGGCTCCCTGTCGCCAAGTACTCATGTGGTCAGTACCATCTATAGCAGTTTTATTGGGAATATTCTGGTTCAGAAAAAAGAGAGAGTTTGCCAAATCTGACCCAGGAGGAAGAGAAAGGATAAAAAGTCTTAAAGAAGAGTTAGCTGAAGTACTGAATGCTGAGGCAGAAGCTATAAAGGCCTCTCCGCTCAGCAAAACTGACCGCTCCATAATAAAGTCTACCCCAATTGATATTGTTCCTAATGGTAGTGGTTCACAAAGATCATCCCCGTTGGAATTAACAGATGAAGAAGTTGACATGGAAATAGAAAAGATTATTAGAAAAAAGTCTTTAGAAAAAAACAACAAAAGGATGTCTTTTAATGACAAACATTTGGTAGTGAGCTCATCTTTCAAGCAGCCTAGATTTGTTGTTAATAATGAGTCATCTCCTGTATTCTTATCACTTCAAACAGAAAGAAATTGTACTAAAGATGATGTTGATGCCTATTCTGTGAAGGTGGTTAATGAAGATACAGCTATAATGAAAGAAAATATCCACAATAAGTCTGAAAAAGATACTTCTCAAGATTGTACAAAAAATGATACTGTTAAGTCAGAAATGAATGCAGGTGAAGAAAGTGCAGTGACAGATACAGAAGAATTAAATATTATTGATAATGTAGTGGACGAACCTTGTGATAGTAATAACAGTGAAAATAGATTCTCTGCCCCACAAACTAGACGTATCTCTGAGAGAGACTCTGCAAATCACAGTCCAGTAGATCCTATGCTAGCTAGTCCTTCAATGTGTCACTTTTCAGATAACCACAGTGAGGTAAGTTTGTTACTATGTCACAGTATTATTGACACTTATTTTGACCTTTGCAATACAATTTTATAGTATCCTAACTTTTATTACTAAATAATTCAGTAAGCCATTATCTTATAATGGTATTAAAATTGAATCTATTTCAATTCCATATATTATTTAACAGGGTTCAAGTGACAGTGGTAAAGGATGTTCAGAAGCAGCTAGCCCACCTCCAGCTAATATGAATTTGGTCCCTTCTGACACAGGGCTTAGAATACATCAATTTATAATACCACAGACCCTGGTTGGTCTTTTAATAGGAAAACATGGTTCTTTTGTAGCCCAAATTAAAGCCAAAACTGGTGCAAGTGTGTATGTGAGGAGGCATCCTGATTCAGTTAAACAAAAAATTTGTGCAGTTGAAGGTATTATTTTATATTACTATTATTAATTATTGTTATATCACTTACCTGTTTTAATTAATATCCATTAACTTCCATAAATTAAACATGTCTTATTTTTATGGCTTTACAGGAACTCAAAGTGAAATAGAGGCAGCTTTAGATATGATAAAAGAAAAATTCCCAGAAAAAAGGTTTCCCAACTTCTGCATGCAGGAAATTAGTGCTGAATTATATCAAAGACTGGCTCCATTAGTACCAGACTTCCTACAAGTAAGTCTTTAGAATTTTAAATTATTGTACAAGATAAAATAAATATAAAATGGAAATAAATACATTAAATTTATACATTAAGAATAATGACATTTCATATAATAAAATTTGTATTAGGGGCAAATTACATTATAATAATTATAAATAATTTTTATTTAGGTAAACTTAATAATAAACATTTTTGAATCGTCATTTTTTATTAATCTACCACTCACTTTGGAATGCAATTTCAGCTGAGAAGAGTGAGCAAGAAACACAGTTGTTGATTTTTTCTTCTTAAATAAAAGTTATTAATATTAAGACTATATATTCATATGTATAAAAGCCTGCCTGCTGGTGATTATTCTATTGTTAGGTACCACTTTTCCCATGGTGACCCATGACTTGTTTTCTAATCCCATAAGAATTGAAAACTAGACAAGGAACTTAAGGAAATTTCAATAAGTAGACCAGATAAGGCTGTAATATTCTATTATGATGTCCATATATAATCAAGTTTGCAGCTGATTTGAAATAGCTTCCAAACTTGTCTGTAATTACTGTCATTGTGCATGACAATTCTACTTGAGGACACACTATAAACTGGACGCAGTTTTAAATTCGCTGCCAATTTAATGATAAACATGATCACATGTGGCCAGTACATGAAAGTCTGGTATACTGCTATAATGTAAAATTTCTGTTAATACGATCAAATTTGTGAGCATTGTATGCTGAATATATCAGTTACAGCTCGTGGAGTCTGTGAACAATGACACAATAATGACGTGCCTGGTGAGCGCGGGGCACTTCTTCCTGCAGCAACCACTGCACCCCACCTTCCCCTCTCTACATGCCCTTCACCGGCTTATGGCCGCCACATATCAGAATCCAGACGTACCGGCTCTGCCACGCCCTGTGAAAGGTAACTGGTTTTCACTGAATCACTGTTCATTTTCATTATTAACTACACATCCATTATTCTTACGTAATATAGAGCAATAATATTAAGACAAGTTTTTATAAGCTGTAGGTTTTATTGATATAAAATCGTGTTAATTATACGTAAATCTAAATTTCTACCTATTGTTTGATTATTCTATCTAAAAGAGTCACTAAATACTCATCTATTAAATTTATAATTAGTAACTTTTATACCATTAATAGCCGCTATAATTATCGATTTACAACTTATAGCACTTCCATAATGAGGAGTAATCTAATGAAGCCTCATGAGGATCCAAACAGAGATACAGCATACTATCTACTTATATCCCAAAAATGTTACCCTCTTTTATTTAACAATTGGATAAAAATTTCCCTTAAATTGCTGTATTTGTTTTATTGTCTTTGTAAGCTGTTTTTGAACTTTTACTTTCGCTTTGTGCTGACATTGTAGCACTGACATTGAAATATCACTTTCAAGACCAAGCATATTTTTGGTACTCATAAAGTGTAATGTTCCAAGTTGTTTGGCAGGACCAAAGCTTTGCAGTTTTTAAAAATAAAATAGTTCCTATGTTGCTCACTGATAATGTTACTTTCTATAAGTGAAAGAATAATTATTATTTTTAATTTTTTTTTTTATAATATTAAACTACTAAAAATAAGAATTCTTATTTCTAAAGGGGTAATTATTCACATGTCCATTTTTAGTATTAAATATCTAATTGGTATATAATATAGTATTTACCAATTACAATAATAAAAGAATTTGATTAAATTTAATCCGTAGTTTCCTCACTTCTTAGTATTGTTACATTTATATAGAACTGCAAATCAAGATTTTAGTATTCTGGAGAAGGGCAAATCCCTTTATATTAATTCACTATAAGAGTTCTTCATTCCTTTTGATATATAAAGAACCCTAGTTGTGAACACTTCATAATATTTAAAAAACCTTACATAATATTTTATATCTATATTATGTATCTATATATATCTATATATGAACATAAATACTTTTACAGAAGGGTCCATATGTGCTGCACCAACAGAGAATAATTGGTATCGTGCTCAAGTAATATCAACATCCGAGGAGAATGACACGTCTGTTGTGAAGCTGGTAGACTTTGGAGGATACCTCACAGTGGATAATGACCAGCTCAAACAGATCCGCTCTGATTTCATGACATTGCCTTTCCAGGCAACAGAAGCCCTTCTGGCGTTCGTGAAACCAGCGAAAAATGGTTAATTCTTTCATCTTTTTGCTTTTCTAGCTTACTACTACTGCTTCTTATTTTCTATTTTCTGTTTGCTTTAAAAATTAAATTAAATCTTAAATATTTTTGTCTTGATACAAGGGCGGATAATAATAACTTTATTCAATCTAATAATAATTCATAAATTATATGTTTATCATGTCAATAACCTATCTCTTGTAAAACTTAAAAATATCTTTATAAATTACAATATCTGTTTTAAAATTCAATGTTTATTTCCTATAACCAATATTTGTATATCTTATTCTTTAAAAAAAATAGTTTAAACAAATTGCATATTACAGTAAAAACTATATGAGATTGTAGTTACACATGTAAATTTTTAATTAAATATTATATTTCACGTCATTTCAACTGCAATATGCAACTTGTTTTAACTGTTTGTTATGATGTTTTGCTTTTTAATACTCTAATGGTAAGTACTTTGTTTAAAACATGATTATGCTATCTTACAGTAGGCACTTATATCAATATTGGTTGTTTATTTTAGAGCCTGAGTGGAGTAATGAGGCGCTCCGCATTATGGCGGGACTGACTGCTGGTCAGCTTCTACACGCACAAGTCGCCGGCTACGACGAGTGCGGCCTTCCGCTAGTACATCTCTACCTCACCTTAAGTCCACAGGTATATACTACGTCATTTAAGATAACAATGTGCCCTAATCCGATTTATTTATCGTAAATTTAATCAATAAAGATAACAGGGGAGCTATTTATTGACCATAAACTATGCATTTGTATAACCTTATTATTTTTTTAATATATTTTCTTAAATGATATAAAATCGATAACTGATAATAGGAATTTTGTAATCTATTCAAAACATGATCTGTTTACGATGCAGTTTTCATATCTACTACTATTTTATTTTACAATATACCATATATATAGTCGACTGTGATAAAAGAAACATCAATTAGCAATTAATTACTTTTGTCAGCAGAATCGATTGAACACATTTTTTTTTTTTTATTCATGAATATTTAATTGTAGAAATTCAATTAAGAGATTTCAATATTACTAAATTTATTTAAAACTCTTATATGTAACAATTCTAAATTGTAATAATAAAGTAGCTTTCTTTAGGTTAAAGATTTTTTTAAAATCGGTTGATTAATTGAAATTATTTAATATAAACAAACAAATGTGCAAAAAGTCCTTATTCTTATATTATGATGGGCACATTATAAACCTTCCATAGTTGCGAACTACTGGTATATCAGGATTATTATAAATAGATACCCTTTAACAATTCCAACTATTGTAGGTACGTATCCAAATTTTTTTTTAATCAATACGATTTACTCCCATTTTTATCTCTAATCAAATGTGTAGTGATTGAAGTCACTTTTATTTCTTTCTGTAGCGCAAAATCTTAAATGATTTTTATTTGGTATAATGTTGGAACTTAAATGATATTATTTTAAACTTTGGTATTGTTTACACATACTATCAGAACTTAGCCCAATCAAAAGTACTATTTACCTGCAAAACAATACAAGTAGGTACTATTTACCTGCAAAATTTTTCATGGCACTAAGTTCCGATATTGTATTTAAAAAGATGTTATTTATTTGAATTTTGATGTATGATAGAGATATTGATAGTTTTGGAGTACAAAATCTCTTAAACCTAATTATGTATACCCGTATATTTACTTACTGCTTATGTCCTTAATATTATTAATGTGAGCGTGTTTCTTTTTGCCTATTTGGTATATAAGTGCTATTAGGAATGGAGGAGGAGGACGTATTCTATTTATCCCTGTTACACAGACGAAGTCGCGTATAAAAGTTAGTTTTCTATAAATATGATTATTTGTTTTATGTTCCAGCAAGTGATATTCCTAAACAGAGAGTTAGTGGACCGCGGCTTGGCGGAATGGGACATGCCGGTGGACTCGTGAAAGATACCTCGCCGCATGCGTTCCACTTCTGTTACTTACTTGTGACTTTATTTTTATTTTGACGCTGATTAGTATAATGGGATTGCATTTCAATGTACATACACATTAATTTCACTACTATACTGAGTACTGGTAGTGAATTATCGAGACTTAATTTGTTTTTATTTTTATGAGTTGTCGAGTTAACTCTTAATAAATGTTTTCTTTTAGTTGACTTTTGATTTCATAGCTACAGTTAATCAGGCCAATCTGTATAAGCTTGCTCTTATATAAATTAAATTACAATGAGAATAGCAATATGTTATCTATATATTCTAATACTTTCAAATCTATTTGGTCTTTATATTCATTTTTAAGTTACTCTTAATATTTCATTTCGTCTAAGCTCCCACAACAGTAACATAAAGCATGCAATACGCTTATATAAGTATATTACAAATTTCATATATTGCAAATTGTTTCTTAAGTCGTTAATCATTATTCGGCAATCGAACGAGGTCTACATTTTTGATAACCTTTGCGAGGGCCATATAGTTTTTATAATATTCAGGATGCTCATTATCACTAAGTTAAGTTGATTGACACTGCCTTTTCGATTATTAATTTTCTCATGTATTCGTCTTGATTCGATGTCATCTAAATCAAGTCAACGTAATATTATTAGAGGTGCCAAATACTGCTTGTATTTTTCATAACCTATTATGCATAATACGCTGTTTTATAACACTTTTATTTAAAAAGATGTCGGCGATATCGCCTTGAAAGATGTGCCTTTATGCAATGTTTTCCTTTTAATTTTAAACTTTCCATATTCTATAATGTATATAAAATACTTTACCACAAGAAATAATGCGTACTATGCGCAATTGTAAAGCTTAACGATATAATGCATATCGTTATATTTTACGTATTTTATTTACATTAAATTAATGGAATTATACAATTATATGTATAATATTTTACGACGGTTGACTGAATATGTATAATAGTTGTAAAATTGTATAATGTGTGTGTAAAAAGAAAGTACAATAAAAAGTGACGTTTATGACAAAAATTGATAATGAATATATCTGTATATTTCCCAATTTACACCAATTATTTAATATCATAAAAATTACAAGTTGACTTTATTTTTTGCAATGATCTTTTCTTAAATTTGAATATCAGTTATGAATTCAATACTTATTTTACTAATTTCAGTCGCTCACTGCAAAATATCTGGTCATCTTTTTAGGTATTTAAGCTATTGGAGCGATCAACTTCTGTTTACTTTTCTTTCCTTTCAGATGGCACACTGATCGTCATTGTAATACATATTACAATTGAAGCTTTGATATAATCGTTTAGTAATTTGAAGTTGTAATAAGCACATTGATAATTCCCGACTTGTTAGTTTAATAGTGTACATAATAGAAATGTTAAGTAGCAATAAAAATATATTCATTGTATGGTAGTGAATCCAGTATTTTATTATGTTGAAAATTAAGTGTTTGTTTTTAGTGTTATTCTGTACGCGTATTGTGTAGTATAGTTGAAAGCTTTTTGGGGAAGCTTAGATTCAGCGTCGTTGAGTCCATTATATTATTATTAGATTTACTTAATAAAAAAGCCAGCGGGTTTTTATTTCTTGTGTTTATATATTAGTTAATATGTACGTAATAATAAATCGGTTAGTGTTCCGAGTATAAATAGATATAAACAGCTGGCTCTCAATTTGCATTTTGTTGCCCCTCTTGTATATAAACTATTATATTTGCGGTTAAATCAATAAATTATCGTTTAAAAATTAATTTTGTATTTTTATTTTAGTTGTCATATTAGTTTTATCGTGGTTCAAGATGTTGGTTTTAACTAAAAGTTAACGGAAATAATTAGATCATAATGAAAAGAACTCGCATAAAGCGTAGTTTTTAATTTTATACATGTTGGATTCCCATAAACATTAAATTTGTCAACCATTCATATATAGTCAATATCAACATATGCATACTTAAAAAATGCCACGACACGAAACAAATTATTTTTATTAAAATTATATAAAAACAATCCTGAATTCCTTATTGAAATCAGTCCATCCTATTTGAGGGCTACAATATCGCGGAAAAAAATTAATTAGGTGAGTCAACTGGAATCTAATATTAAATATGTATTTAATAAAGGATATGTGCCCATTGAGAGATGCCTTGCTTCTAACAATGATTTTTTTGTACATATTTTATGTATGACGAAACATAATCGTTCGTTCAATATTCATATTATTAAAACGGCGGCCAAGTTCAAGTCAGAGCCGCACAACGAGGGTTCGTACAAACCTGTAGGCATGTAATTGTTTGTTAATTCCAGGAATCTAGTCACAAATATTTTTTTTTCCCAATTATGTTGTAAATTTGTCCTCAAAACGTATAATTCCAATGTTAGTATCATAAAGGTGCAATTGAAAATTGGAACCAGTTAGACAAAAAAATGTACAGCTACATTCACCAAAAAAGTTTTTATTTTGTGAAATGTCTACAAATTTACAGTATAAATGGAACATAAACGGCCGTATCTTTTGATTGTGTCGATTTAGAAGTGTAATATTTTTACTACTTTAAAGAAATTGCAGACCTGAGTACATATTAATTTCAACTCGATACCTTCACGCGTTCCTAAGGGTCTTACATACATACGGATTCCGTTCTTTCCTTTGGAAGTACGGAACTCTAAAAAGTATTATATATACATATATATATATATATATATATATATATATATATATATATATATATATATATATATATATATAGTTAGTTTTAGAGTTAATAAAAAATAAGAATATTCCAGCGATATCATCTGGTACTACTGCTGGACACAAGCCTTCCCCATAAGGGGAGTTTTGCCAGTAATTGCCACGCGTAACGCGCAAGGCGGGTTAGCAACGATGGTTACGCTTTTAGAGATGTTTAAAGAATGACGCTGCTGCCCATCCCTCGCTCTCGTTGCCAGTGTATACCAATAACGCAAGCGGGGTTATCATGTCATTTTCACCCCCCTCACCCTCCCTTAGTCGCCTCTTATCTTACCCTGAAGAAGCCTCTTTACCCCCCTTTTGAAGAACCCCAATAAATGATATCTGTATATAAGAGATTTAAAAAAAATCGATAGAAAAGGTCTTATTATCATTAAGAGCAACAGAAGCAAAACAATATTTTTTTTATTTTTTATGTTTATGAGGTAAATACCACACCAAATTTAAAATCTGGTGTGTTTTATCTTCATATACCTAAAGTAATTTACTTTATTAGTTTTTGTACCTCCAAAATTCATGTTTTTTTATGCAACATAGAATGGCAAGGAAGTTGACGGCCACCTGATGGAAAAAAGTAACCGTCGCCTATAGACATGAGCAGTACCATGGACATAACAGTGTATACTGTTTATGTATTCGAAGACTCGGGCAAAATCAAGTAAAAAGAAGGAAATCTCGAAATTAAGCCCAATATGAAGTCGTCTATGTCAACAATAGCTGTGATACGAAAATATTTTCTAATACTCTAATAGCCATGCCCAAAAAATAGCAATCAATAACTACTTTTTTTTTAAATTATGATCTATATAAATAATAGAAAAATAATAAATAAATAAATATATCAATCACAAAATCGTTTGAAAAGTTAAAAACTGGTTATTGAATTAAAAGTCATAGTGATATAAATCCATTATTATTATGTACTACATACAAAATGTATATTTCTTATAATCTAATGCCCAGTCCACTTAACATAAATTTACCAACAAATCACAACTACAATTCGTCCATTTAAATTCATAAAAAACTATTTTACATCAATAATATTTTATTTATTAAAATTTAACATTTTATAACTTTTAAATACATATAAAAATATTTATATTTTTTAACAAATTATAATTCTAGTTACATAATTTTGTTTATTATTTTGTGAAAATGCATTAATTTTCCATGTTGGAATAGATACTATGACTATTAAATACATTGGCGTATTTAAGAATATATTTTATGGGGGCCTGGCCCCTTAAAAAAAGGCTTATATGTACTCTCAATGTCTTTGCGAAATTTCGCTCGGATCCTTGGATGTGCACTGCTCACCCAGCCCCATTCAATATATATATAGAATAATGTAATCTGTTTTAGAAACTCTGTTACATATAAAATATAAATCAATTTATTAATTTTATTATAATTTAATTCATAACAAATAAACATAACAACTTAGCAATGTTAATAAAGAAAAGAAATACCCGCATACGGAAAAAAGTGCTGCCCAAAGTAGGTGTTAAAGATTATATATTGAAACTAAACAAGTTCTGGTAAATTACAAATTTATTTTATATAAGGATTGACATAAATTTTCAGTAGATATTATTTACCGATAACATAAAAAGTAATTATAAAAAAAAAAAAAACACCTAAAATAATAGCTTATTTATTATTTTTGACATGTGACCCAGAAGCTTATTTTTTTAATAATTATGGCCACTTATGCGCGTATTTCTGTATCATGTTAGATCTCTGCCCCTTTATTCATAAAATTACAACTTTTTACAAACCTATTTTACTTACATTACATTATTTTATCAATTTCTTTCAAATTAAAAATTTAACATAAAGAGACAAAACAATTCAATGGTTAAAATAGATTTATGAACGGTTTGACGTTTTTTTATAAGTAAAGGGATAATTATTTAATATATTTTTTCCTAAATACCCCATTCACACAAAAAAATTATAAAATATATTACTTGTCTTTTACAATTAAATATTATTATAACATTATTTATTGCTTCATAAAATCATTCCCAGAAACGTAGGTATGGTGTTAAAAATGGACCACAAACAATAAATAACGTCATTCAGTACCGGAAACAAAATCAGTCTATAAATTGTCTACTCCATTTAAAAGTTTTTGGTACCAACAAAACAATTTACTGAACGAGGTTTTGTGTTCTGCGATGCCCTGCAGGCTATTGAATTATTTGCGATCTTTTAGAGTGCACAATAGATTATTTTTTATGTTTAATTATAAAACAAATGTCAAATTTAATCCCATAAATTCTTTGTAGTATACTTCAAAACACCATGATTTAAGTATATAAACTTACAGATAAAAATAGTTACTCAGGATCTAAAGCCATCATAAAATATAAAAAATTTACAGACATACTTATGAATCATAAAACAGAAGATATACTAGATATCAGCCTTTATCCATTTGAAAGCTTTTTGTGAGCACTAAAAACCTGACAGTTTTAAGAGATTAAGTGAAGCTATCTTGAAAATTGGCACTAAAAATCGTACACATAACATGCTAGTTTGTAGTCACATGATCTAAACTTTTAATAAATCCACTGGACTTGATAAAGTTGTACCGAACTTCTACTATATGGAGATTCCATTAAGCTCGAGCAATTATAATCACTATTTGCTACAAAAAGGTACCACCACCAGATGAATTGAAATATGTTTTTTTAAAAAATAAATGAAAGAAGTCCAAACTTGAACTACAAGCCCATCGTCATCCTGTGGCATACCTACAAGCTTTTTACCAAAGTCTTCCCTCTGGGCATAGGATCTAATGCAATTCAGCCAGTGTGACAGTTCGAAGACAGTAAAAACATTTCATCTTTACAAGATGGTTTCTTAAGAACAATAAGTAACCTTTTTCGTAACATTTGATTCAGTGGAAAATTGGGAGTTTGATAAATTCGTTGAAGAGAGCTCTTGTATAGATGACGAATATATAGAATCTGTTAGAGAAATCTACGACAGTGCTTCGTTACAGATGAGATTTCTTCAGTTAACTAAATCAGTGTATTAAAAATTTGTTAAAATGATGATAAGACGACACGAACTAATCAAGATTTTTACTCACTACAGCAGTAAATGCTATTAAAATGATAAGGGTATTATGTAAATAAAAAAACTGAATCATCTCAAGTTTACTAATAACATTATCTTCAGTGAATCCTCTAGTCGTTAGAGGATACACTGTAAATACGGCTAAATCTAACTATGTAACCCAAATGTTTGAAGAAATTTATGCCCAAGGTACGAGTTCATGATTACGAATGGTCGCAAAGTAATTAATTAGGTTGAGAAACAAGACTAGACATAATCCACCGCATTGCCACCTCAAGTTGTCCATCTCTACCTGAGAGTAGCGATACTGTCGATCAAATATAAGCTGCTTGGAAAATAAATCAATAAGATTTTGGAATAGAGTTTATATATGAGTAAAAGATTTAGAAAAACACTGGCCTTATAGAATGACGATATTGTTCGTGTCGTAAAAAAATGTTGGACAGGTGTAGGCCGAGACCAAAAAGTGAGGGTGCATTGAAAAAAAAAAAATGTCCTGCAGTGAACGAAAAAAGCTAAGAGGGAGGAAATATGAGATGATAATAATACATATTACCGAAGTTAATCAAAATGCAGTACGGCATGACAAAAACAATACTTTCAGTATTTTTGTTATTAGGGTACTTTTTTAAGCAGTTATATTTTTATAAGATTAAATTGAACTATTGCCTATTGGTATAAAAAATTTACTACAATAAAACAAATTAACTCCATACATCTGATGAATATTTCTTCATCGAATCCAGTTTTTTCAGGAACTGAGCTGCTTCGACTTCTGTGCGACCACCTTTCTCTTGAACTGCTTTTAAAAGAATATTTCGTACATCTACAGCCATATTTTTCGCATCGCTGTAAAAAAAGTTTACATTACAAATAGCTCGCTTAAAGTTGTTGCTGATAAAATATCTGTGTGATCATAATTTTTGTTTGCACTAAATTGTGTCCAGAGCGCACAATTTTAAACTAGCATACACCCAACAAAATGATGTTCATGGAGTAATTTAGTAGTTTTCAGCTTTCAATATCATATCACATCTAATTCTGATAGTCATTGAGGTAAAACTTACATATTTAATTTATTCGAATTTGACTTTTAATTTAGTAATACTTAAGTATACAGTGTATAGGTATTACTTTAACAGTTATGTTTAAAATAAAAAACAAAATATTTAACTACACAACAACATAATCCAAAGGAATATTTTTAACATACAGTTACTCACCCACAAACATAGAAATGGCCATTACGTTTGCCAATTATATCCCAAATCTCATCTATGTTCTTTTCCAACAAGTGAGTTACATACACTTTTTGTGGCTGATCTCGCGAAAATGCTAGGTTGAGTTTAACATCTCCATTCTTTTCATACTGCTCAAGTTCCTATTAATAAACAAAAAGTTTAGACCCTAGTAATAAATAAACAAGATTTAGTTTTTTTTTCTTTAATTTTACTTTACCTCCTGGTAAATGTAGTCTTGGTCCCGATGCCTGCAGCCAAAGTAAAGGATATTTTCACCAACTTCCTTGCCATTTGCACGTGCAAGGGCTCGTTCTTGCAGGAAGCCTCTGAATGGAGCGAATCCTGTGCCTGGACCGACCATTATAATCGGCGTTTGAGGCTGCAGTGGCAACCTATTGTAATACACATACGTAGCAATTAATGATGATTTTCAACTATTTCACACACAGACTTATAAAGAAATCGCTGCAATCCTCTTTTTTAATACATGCAACTGAATCATTTCCATATTTTTTCTAAAATCGAATATTTTTCTAAAAAGATAAATACAATTATGAAATTATTTCTTCACTGCTACATATGTCAACAGGATTTTGTAACAGTAAAAATTACACGTTTTTATGACGAATATCTCTAAAATAAACAATATAAAACCACATCCTAACATTTGTTTGGTCTAGGCCTAGCTATCAGTGCTAGTCGGAGACAATAAAACATGTAGAGTAAACCATACACAGTAAAAAAGGTAGCTGACAAAGGCACTTAATTTTAACAGTAACATACGAGAAAATATAAGTATAAAGATCGGACAACCGACTGCATGAAAAATATATGAAGTTTTCTTGTTTTAAAAAATTGAAATAAATTATTAACACAGAACATATTTTTTAATTACTCACTAAAAATATAATTAAAATTAAACAATGTACAATATATATATAAAACATTACTCATTGTTTTTAAATATATTAAGTAATAAAAAAATTAATTTACAATTAGAACTTTTTCTATTTAAGCCGAAATAGTTACTGAGTATTAACTCGATATTAAAGTAACATAATTCAAGCATGAAAATAAATAATATAACTTCTCGGATTGGAAGGAATTGTTAAATGACAAATTCATCTGGAATTAACAATGATGTTTTCCAGCGTATGCTGGTCTATAAAATAATGGCGTAGGTGAAAATATCAGTTTATTTTCATCACATAAAAAGTCAGGGACAGAGGATTGCAGAGATTGTTTTAAAATTCTGTATATCGTATATTTATACCTAAATTGAGATTTTCTTATATAAATTGGCACTCGTGGCAACGGTTTACCGTCCTCCGGTCTATGCTTGGCTAGCCACGTGGTCGCGACACCTTTGTTGACACGCCCTGTCGGCGTCTTATATTGCACCACCACTGCAGTAACGTGAACAGTTTCAGGATGCAACTAAAATTATAATGTATTTGTATTGTATAAATTCACATTTTTCAGTCTTAAAAAAAAATAGATAAAACTAAAAGTAAATATTAAAGCAAACTTTATATTCAGTTCGTTTTTATCAAAGTCTTTGGAAATCAACTTGTAAAAATACGAGTACTATAAAACAAAATCGCCGTTAATGAGTTTCTCTTTCTTCTTATGTATGTATGTGTGTATATATATATATATATATATATATATATATATTCTGCGCTAAGATGCAAAAATGCTCGCAATACATTTTAACGTAGGGCTTAGTGATAAATTTCCAATGTTTAATTAATTTAATATAAAATTTATAAATACATTTTTCATTTATCTAATAAATAATACTATAGGATATAAACATATCTGCATATCTTTTACACATACGAGAAATATAATGATATTCAATTTATAATCGTTATTCTTATCTGTCTTTAAACTTCAATGACACATACTAAAAAAAATAATAAACTGTATTTTTAGCAATATACTTTGGGTAATGTACGTTATGTTTGACAATATCGATAATTACCTTTGGACTCGATGATATGGAATAGAATCTTGGTTGGAGACGTGGTAACAGCTCACAAATATGATCTAGAGGAGGTTTACACGATTTAATGTCTTCTAAAATATGTACAATATTTCTACAACCGTCCACTACAAATGATTGATATAAAGCCTTTCCTTCTTGTGAATGTGTAGCCATAAGCAGTAATTTTTTCTTATCCTACAAACAACGAAAACCAAATCAGATTAAAAGTGTTGCACAATCTCATCAATTGTGACCGGTCCAATAAATAGTATCATGTTATTATGTTAAAGAAACAATAGCTGAACAAGACAGTACAAAATTCGTCTGCTTAGGTATCTTCCTTGACTCGTTGAATGAATGAATGAGTATACTTTATTTGAATTACACAACATAATGAATAAAGCAACACAAGAATAAATGTAAAGATAAAATTATATAGGTTCAATGAGGTAGCCTTATTACTGCAAGCAATATTTACAACCTTAGTTTGTTTCTGCTGCTAATCATCTGTGCTTGCATAGTTGTTTTGGTTTGAAGGGTGCAAGCGATAGGGTAATGAAATTACAGTATATGACGTAATATCAGTGAGACGTAACATCTCAGTCCTCATTAAAAGAAGACATGAGCTTCATGGGTGTCACAGTGTATTCTAGGATATCCATGATTCTCTTCATATCTATACGCAACGTTAACTTATTTGCGATTAATTTCATTAATAAAAATGAAAATGTGGGCACACTGTACAATACCTACACCCAAGCAAATCAGATTTTTAAAGTTTTATTGAATAAAACAATACGCTTATCACTGCACCATACAAGTCGTAAAGTAATTTTTATTTTACATCTATATGTTATTTTATCAATTAATGTAAGACCGATTATCAAAAAAAGAGAACACTTGAATACTCACTTCTTCAGCTGAACAATATTCCGCAAGTTCCCTCATGATGTGAGTACGTGGCAATGCTGTGATCTCTAAGTAATGAGAAAGGGCTGTACGATAAGACGTAGGGCATGGGAATGGATGTTTTTTACTACTGTCCTGATCAGTATTAATAAGTGAGAATATCTCGTTCAGATCAGAATTCGTAAGTTCTCCAAGACGCTCAACTAGTGAAGAGTCATTAATAGGATAAACGGCCACATGATCACCTGCAATATTAATAAATAATAGTCTACCTCAATATCAGATAAAAACTTAAATAAACTAAAAAACTTAATATTTGAGCTACATTGAACTCTATGTTGTAACACATATGTGTTACATGTACACATACATTGTATATATTATTAATTGGTACAACTAAATGATATTACAATTGAAAATATTAGAGAGTTGCTCTAGTTTTGACTATCATTAAGCTGAAATAATACATACCTGCTTCGTATCTCATTTTCGAATCGGAAATATCAAATTCCACATGTAAACATGACCTGTCACCGCCTTTATGTAATTCTTTATTAACCTTAATTTGTGCAAGGAAGGGATTCTTTGCATCGTATGGTCTGAAACAATGAATGATAAACAAATATTTTTTATTTAATTTTGGTATTTAGAACTTTGAAACTTTTATAAGAAAGAAGTGCCCCCATTTTATTGTTCTGTGAAGCACATTGCATGTATTCTTGTTTCTGTAAGAATAACAAAAAGAAACTAGAGTAGTTTCTGATACACCAGGTGAATAGGTGTCAGAAACTATTCTACTCACTAAGGTGGTATGGGTACCACCTTAATTGTCAAGAGTAAGAAAAAGTACTTTATATGTATAAAGAATTGACGCTTTGTACTTTTCTCAAAGTGGACTATCAGCTTGTTCTAACACAGCAATAAAAACCTTGAAGGAGTCAATAATTCAGTCAATACAATATCTTTGAATAACCCATACTGTACTTTTAAAATAAATATTTTTGTAAAATAAATCAAATCCTCTTATATAGTACTCTACTTGAAGCTAGATGGCGTAAGTGTAATATATCCAGTGACAAAATTTTTTACAATTCTACAGTATTCATAATATACTCACGGTCTTTGAACTTGTAATGAGTGTAATCTAGCAATTTCACCAGTGTAAATGTTATTTGTTGGTATCTCATCAGGTCCATGGGTAACAAGACGAAACTGACGTGTGAGCTCCTCCTCGCCGGTGCTTTCAATATGAAACTTCTCACAAACTGCTGGCCAAAACTTGTCCTTCCATGTAATGAAATCATCTTCAATACTGAAATATAAATGTACCTAAGTTTACTCTCAGTATTTTTATGCAACTTAGAATAGCAAACAAGCTGACGGCTCACTTGTTTGAAAGTAGTAACAGTCACCTATAAACATGAGCAGTACCATGGACATAACAGAGTATACTGTTTCAGCCATGAGCCCCCAATGCATTGCCATTTCAGAGGACTAAGTTGTTGTCTCTGCACCCTATAAATTCAATGTCATATCACTCCCTTCAAACTAAAACAGAGCTATGCACACACAACTGCTTCACAGTTAACAGAGCTACACAAGCATACGACTTTTGTACAATAATAATAATAATAATAATTCTTTATTTGGAACAAAAACAGTGGATACAATATTATTGAAAAACGATGATATCCGCAGAAGTATAAAACTGTAACATTTTCCTCTAGTATTTTAAAAGTAATCCTTATTCCAGTAATAATCTATATATAAAAATTATATGCTGAATGTATGTAAGCACATCATTTCAGAATGGCTGCACCTATTTGCTGAATTTTTTTATCATGATTCTAAATATTAGAACAAAGTCTCTCAAAAAGAAAATGTTTGAAAAATTATATTGAAGTATGAGAAATATATTGAAGTAGGATGACCCCCCACTAGAGGGGGGAAAGGGATTGTAAGTAATGGAGATTGAGAATCCCATTACTAGCAATATACCCAACCAGATTGACCTCCTTGCGGTTCCCCCTGGAATCTATTATGGTTAATTCCTAAGAAATTCATCATGATGGGCTAATGGGCCTGGCCTCATCAATCACCCTTCACTGGTACTCCGCCAGCGTATTCCGTTAGAGCAGGCGGGGTTACCATTCCACTTTCACCCATCAAGACCCCCCACTAGATGAAGTGATGACTTCAAATGCATCAGTCAGTGGATGCAAGTAGCTTAGGACCGTTCCTTATGGAATCCTATGGGGGAGGCTAATGTCCAACAGTGGACTGATAATGGCTGAGATGACAATGATGATAACTTACTTTGCATCATCATCTCCTAATCCAAGTTCATATACTCTACATGCACCAAGCTCTTCAAGACGTTTATCCAAATAGATTGCTACTGCATTGTAATGTTCATATGTTTTATTGCCCAAACCAAACACCTGGAACAGAAAAAAATAAAGACATCATTCACTATTTTGCTAATCCTATAATACTGTATAGGAATAATACAAATAATCTGTTAATTTCAATATTTACATTTAAATTACATTGAACAAATAGTATTAGTTGGAAATGGTCTAGAACTGATCCAAAACCCAGTGTATTTAAGGTACTAAATATTTTTTCTGAAGGAATTAATGTATGACCTCAAACATATGACTACACTGTTTATGACTTTCGGATAGAGATGATCCTTGCATTAGAGTATTAATAATTATTTTTCATACCAATATATTTTAATTGGAGAGAGGAGATTATTAAGGAGGAGTTACTAATGGGCTCTAGTGAGACCATTTTTTTTTTTATGGGTGAAAATGGTATGATAACCCTGCCTGCGCTAACGGGATTAGCTGGTGGAGCACCAGTGAAGGGTGATAGATGAGAATAAAAACAGGCCAATTAGCCCATCATGATGAATTCATCAGGAATTAACCATGTTAGTTTCCAGGAAGAACTGCGAGGAGGTCAACCTGGTTGGGTATATTGCTAGCAATGGGATTCTCAGTCTCCATTACTAACAATCCCTGTCCCCCCAAATGAGACCATTAAACATCTATTCTGATTTGTGCAACCAAATGTTCATTACTTGGTTCCTTATAACACATGGAATCGTAACTAGAGTATCTGGAGGAAAGGGATTATTAGTAATGGGATCTAACAGCTCCATTGCTATCAATATATCCTGTCAGGTCAACCTCCTCACAGTCCCTCTAGAAACCATAATACCTAATACCAGGCAAATTCATCACAATGGACTAATTAACCAGCCTTTTCATCCTCTTCTATTTCTCATTATGTAAGTGTATACTGTTAGCGAGTCAAAGTTACCAATATATGTCACCTATTAAAAAATTCAGGTAAAACACATGAAGTGACTATGACAGTCAAAACATAGATAGCCATAAACCATAAAAAAATAATTGTAATTGTAACCTTGAAAATTAAACATTAATTGATGAATAAAGAAATATGATATCATTTGAAAATCATAAAAACTACTTAAAAATTAAATGAATATTAAACAATATCAACCACATCAGTCAGTCTCCTGGTCTAGTCAATTAAAGTTCATCAGAAATAAAATCTAATTTTAAACAATATTTGCAAATATCTAGTAGTAAATTTACAGTATTAAGTAAAACCAATTATGAGAATAAAAATGATATAATAAATAAAAATAATGTTGTTTTAGTTCAATAACTTATAAAAGGGCAATATCAGCTATAATATAATGCTAAATTACACCTATAGTTGTGTTGCAAAGAAATGCAATTGTGAAGGGCACTTATTTATAAACAGATAATAAAATTTGCATAACATGCTACTGTAATATAATATTAAAAGGTTTAGAGGTTATTATTATCATACCGTACCATGTATCGTAACTTCTGGATTGATGATATAATACGTCGCCTATTTAATAGATTGGTAACTATCTGGGGAAAATTTTTTATATATATACTCATAATTGGTTAATATATTTGAATCTGATAAACTAGAGCACTTTTGACAGTAGTTATGATTATGAAATACTGTGAATAACACTCACTTCATACACTACCAACTCTATATATTATTGTTATCTAATTAGTGAAAATTTACAATACCACAGTAATAATCATATTATTTATAGTTCATTATCCCTTTTTATTTAAAAATACCAAAAAAAGAATATATACTTTTTTGGTTCTGTTAATAACTATGACTGATTAACTAGGTACATTAGAAAACATTAATTTGACATTGACATATAACCTGACAGTAACAAAATGGGGTGAATAGGAATTTAGGTATAAGGACCAAACTAGGAATGAGTTTTGGAATAGAAAAATAAATATTATTGACTTCATATATGACTTAGCAGTTTTAACCAATAGTAGAATACTATTGGTTGATTGATATATGATGTAATAGTATAATAAGAGATAATATAAATAAAATATTATCTCTCATTCTTTCACACCAAAACAATGTGGAGTGTCATAGATCGGTATACATATTATTTTTCTAAATGGGTCGTCATATTTAAATATTTTTTGAGTTTCTAAACTTACAGTATAATTTAACAAAATCAATTGTGTGTTTATCAGGAGTGATGTAAAAACATTAATAGGATAGAATATATATATATATATATATATATATATATATATATATATATATATATATATATATATATATATATATATATATATATATATATATATATATATATATATATATATCAAACGTCGTTATTTTGTCCCTCCGTGGAATAATTTATCAAACATGCTTAATCGTGATTAATCTTGATGAATATTTCATAATGGACGGACTGTGGGGTTACTCTTGAAATAAATTACTGGAGGTGCACTACTTCAGGTAAGTGAAGATTTTATATACTTTATAAAATTAAAATATAAAGCATTTTGATTTTATAAAGTACATAAAATGTTTAATGAATGATAGAATTATGGAATTAATAGATACGTTACATGTGTAAACAAGATCGATTGAGGATCTTTTTGATAAGAATGGTCAGGAAAACAAAGGGAACGGTAAAGGGGATGTAAAAAAATAATATATATATATATATATATATATATATATATATATATATATATATATATATATATATATATATATATATATATATATATATATATATAATGTCGTTATTTTGTCCCTTCATGGAATAATTTGTCAAACATGCTTAACTGCAATGCTAGCCTCATAATGATTCCATATTGTTCTGATGCATACTAGTGTAACTTACCAATGCAAACTATTGTAAACCGATCCCAGTTATAACCTAATTCCTAATTGTTGTATCATGAGAGCAGTATAAAATTGAAGTCACTATTCCATTACTATTCATTTAAAAAATGTGACACGCCCTTTTTGTTTTTATATTAATGCTATTTTCAAAACCTACTTTCTTTCGTATTACTGTATTATAAATTCTATCCGTATATCCGTATATCTACAATACCAATTCGAATGTAAGCCTTGGCTCAGGCGATCTAAGGTTTACATATCTATCTCAAAAAAAGCAACTGAATTCTCTGCATAAAGCAGTCAATTAGCCATTAAATCATCCTTTCGTAGTTCTACATTCATGCTGTTCAAAATTTTTAGATATTTTGGCAAATGTAAATAAATAGTCTGGTTAGTAAATAACCAAGTCTGGTATCACTTCGATCTCATATTTTAAAAGAAGGTCCTAAAACTCCTTACATACAAATCTGTTAAATGCTTTCTCTAAGTCCACAACACTGAAAGGGAAATGGATTACTAGTATCACCCCCACACGGATTCTCCTGAAAACGATTTTGATTAATACTTTATGAATTTATCACCATGGGCCTACTGACAGTTGATTCACGGCAAAGACACGAGGGGGAGGGGCAAAGGTACCCAAGCAGTCGAATTTTCTACAGTTTCCATCTGGTAAATGAAATCCAAATAAAAAAGTAAATTATATAAATATACATATGTGTATTGTTAAATAAAGTTTATTTTATTACTGTGTATACATACAACATATTTTAAGAACCTTGTGCCTTTTCCCTATTCACCCCAGTTAATCACCCCGGAGGTAGTATAAATAGGGATTACACATATTTTGCTATAATTAATTAACTGCTTTTTACTTTCCAAATGACTTTGTATACAATCATATAGTTTAAACAACCAGAGATACTTAGAATCCTTAAAAATTACAAATTGCGTAATAAAATAACACGAAGAAATTGAAGTGTGAAATCCGATTTCGTGTCTATTTATCACATTTTACGGTATTAATTTATCCACAGTGGGAAAGGCAAAGGAACTAAGCCTAATCTTCAGTTTGAGTATCTTTTTTTGGCAGCTCAATATATACCATAGATCTAAAACCATTAATTTGCTCCGAGAGACACATTTATATAGATTCATAATGTAAAGAAAAAAACATAAAAATAACAACAATATATTTAGACCCCGTTACTAACAATCCTTCTTCCCATATACGGCTGCTTTTTAACCCAGTCAGTGAAGGTATTCCGGTCACGTGGACGAAGTCGCCTCCATGTGGTTCCCCCTGGAAACCATCGTAGTTTTGAAGGGAAAGGGACTGTTAATAATGGCATCTAACAACCCCATTACTAACAATAAACTTTATCAGGTCGATATCCATGCAGAAATCGTCACGATGGGACAACTGACCTACTTTCATCCTCATCTATTATCATTGGTGCCGCGCCAGTGTATACCGATAGCCTAGGCTGGGTTACCATTCCATTTTTCTTTTCATTTAAGATTTTCCTCTTGTCGGTGCAACTAATTCATGCATTTTCTTCCAGCCAGCTCTATTCCAGGCCATATCTTTGACCTCGCTATAAGACATGACACTCCGTGTTTCCTTTATCTGTCCCATGTTGTTATCCTCGGTCTTCCCTTCCTATTTTGCCCTCTATTTTTCCTTCGACTATGCTTTTTATAAAATCATTCATCGCCATTCCATTTGTACCCATAAAAAAAAAACCATCGTGGTTAATTCTTATCGAATTGATCATGTTGGGCCAACTGGCCTGCATTCATCCTCAGCTATCACTTCTCACTGCTGTTTTTAAATGGGTGATAATGGAATGGAACTCCGCCTGCGCTATCGGTGTACGCTGACGGGGTACCAGTGAGGAATGATAGGTGACGATGACAGCAAGTCAACCCATCCTGACGAATTCAATTAGAATTAACCACTAGTTTCCAGAGGAAATTGCGTGGAGGTCGGCCTGATAAGGTGTATTGCTAGCAATGGGTCAGTTAGACACCTTTACTAACAATCTCTTTCCTCCTGTCTCTGACTAGTATCAATCTACTAGTATCAATTCTCAATTTTGGCATATTCTGTACTAGCTGTATCCCGTCGCTTCACCCGTGTAAATCTGTATATAATGTATCCTATGTGCTACATTACGAT